AATAGAATATTGGAAACCATGTTACGAATTTATGTCAACTATCGACAAGACAATTGGGACCAGTTATTGTCAGCAGCAGAATTTGCATACAACAATGCTCAGCAATCATCGACTGGGTTTATCCCATTTCAACTCGATTATAATCACCAACTGATAACCCCTAGTAGCTTGGCATCAAAGTCTGCAAGGAAAATAAAGGTTAAAGCGGCCCACGAATTATATGAGCATTGGACAGCAATGATAGAAATGGCAAGGGATGCATTAATCTCAGCACAGGAAAAACAAGCAAGGTATTACGATAAAAACTACTGAGACCAAGAATTCAGTACGGGCGACCATATTATGCTGTCTACAAAAAACTTGGTACCAGCAGCGGATTTAAACAGGATTTCAAAGAAGTTAGTGCCGAAATTTATCGGACCCTATAAGGTTGAAAAGAAAGTGTCAACGACGGCATATAAGTTGGCTCTGCCCCCGAACATGAGAATTCACCCAGTATTTCACATTTCTCTGTTGAAACCACATATGCCAAATGAGTTTGAAGGAAGGAACGAAACACTACCACCGCCTGAATTCTTTGGGGATCTGAGTTCTGAACCAGAATTCGAAGTGGAAGAAATCCTAGATAAATGAACCTACTACCGGAAACCACAATACTTGATTAAGTGGAAAGAGTACCCCCTATACGAAGCAACATGGGAACCGTTATCAAACTTGAAAAATGCTATGGAGATGGTGGAGAGTTATGAGGCGGGTAACAAAGAAACAGTAGATAAGAATATTGAAATAGGTAGTCTTGGTTTAGGTGGGGAAGAGTGTAACGGGTTAAATTCACGAAACGATGATCAATTCGGATATAATAGTTTTGGTAACAATTATATGCAAGGGACGGAGATCGATCATAATCAGGTTCATAACAAGAAGGCAACTAATACACAATCGGGTAATAAATTAAAAAAAGAAAACCGGTATTTATCGTGCTCACATGATACGATCACGATCATTGATCATGATCATGCACTGGAAATTAATAATGTAATTAATGATGATATCAATTAAGCAGGGTTGTAGTTAGAGAAATTTATTAGTAATACGCATAATAAATATAGTCATAGTCAAATAGTTAATTTGTAAGAATCTATTATATGTAAGGCATATAAAAGAGAAGCAATTAGTAAATAAAGATTCTTACACTTCTTTTTCACGATAAATAAAAAAAACAACTTCTTAAGTAACGAGCGTGTTTATCTACACGGTTACAATGGATGTAGGTTTAATTATTATTATTATTTTTTTTTTTAAATTTATTTTTTTTTTATCTTTTTATATTTACGCAAAGTTTGATTTTTCATTTTGCATTATCCAACCACCTAGTTTTTCAATTGCACAAAGTTTGATTTTTGTTTTGCATTACCAAACCACCCAGTTTTTAAATTTTTTTTTTAATTTTAAAATTTTTTTTTATTTTTTTATATTCGCACAAAGTTTGATTTTTATTTTGTGTTACCCAACCACCCAGTTTTTTAAAATTTTATTTTTTTCTTGACCTTTTTTTACTAATTTTTTTTTTTTTTTTTTTTGTTATAGCTATTAAGAAGCAAATTTATCAAGAAAATTTGGCATTACAATTGGCAGGTTCACATATCTGTGCTGCCAATCAAGAGAATCCCAAAGTGAAGAATATAAAGACTCTAATCATAAGTAGCGTATGTGTTACAACTATAAGGGCAGAATTTCTGTACGAGTCGATACAGTTCTTGGTGTTGCGAAGGTTAATATTTGTCATGATATTCTTTACTAACATTCAGATTTTTGTGCTGAGATGACAGACGAACTACGGGAAGAAATTAGGAAGTTTGCACATTTTACCACAGCTCAATTAACAAACCATCTACAATGTCAAGAGGTCGACGTTTTAAAATATTCATACAAGTGCATATATTACTGGAAAACTATAGCAAATCAAAGCTTATACCAACACTATAACGACCAAGTGGAATCTACACGCAGGCTGCTTGACGAGCATAGAAATTAGGATTTCTACAAATGCCTAGATTACAAGACCCAGAATCCACAGCCATTGCGTTTATAACTCCACTGCTTAAAGAAATAAATAATCTCAATATTTGTATTACTAAGATTTATATTGATGCTATATATAAAACTACATGTGGCTATTATGAACTTTATAGTATTGTTGCTGACGTTAATAGTATCAGTTATCCAATCACTTACCTAATAATGGATACGACAAAGACAATAGATACAAACCCTAGTACAGGAAAATGTTGTATTATATTAGAAGACTTTCTGGCTGCTCTTAAAGTAAATCGTAATAAAATAATAAAGTCTATTCTTCTTATAACAAACTGAAGATTCTAAAAATAAATAAGAAAATAAAAATTAATTAAAAAAAATTTAAAACAAAAAAATAAAAAAAAAGTTCAGCATAGTAAATCACTATGTTTTCTTAAGAATTCATGAAAATTTTGAATTCGCTATATCTAAAGCTTATTATATTCAATGTTCGTTATATTCTGAGTCAACTATAATAAAATAAAAAAATTTTTTTTTTTTTTTAGTTTAAAAACATAATTAAATCAAATAATTTAATAATTTGTATAGTCGTATAATGTAAATCCACAATTTGTCTTTACAGATAAAGACTTTGTAGAAATTAGTGCAGCATCCAATATGTGGGGCAGTTCTGTGATTCAACTGTGTGCTTGGTATATGAAACAGGCTGTAAAACGCAAGCTTGAGGAGAAAGCAAAATCATCAAGAAATTTTAGGTTAATAGCCATGAATTATAATGCTTGTCAAGCAGCCAGTAAATATGATTTTATTGATCCTACTTTTTACCTGACAGAAGAGAATCGTAATTCAAAGTTATATGTTGTTTGCCCATCCGAATTCTGAGAAAAGATTCTAGAGTTGATGCAGAAGCACTTCGATATGCATCCATTAATTCCTGTAGATGTACAAGGGAATACAATAGAACCAGAAGTGATTAAAAAACGTGCTATAGAGGAAATGTATAAATTTTGTATAGAGTACGGTTTACAGTTAGTTTTAAAATTTTTTTTTAAAAAAAATTTTTTTTAAATTAATTAAATATTTTTTTCTTAACTTGTAATTTTCTTTAGGCTGCTTTGGTCCTATCTTTGGATCAATTGGTACTTATTATAATGATGGTATCTTTGGGCATGATCGGCCAAACTGGTGATACCATATGAAAAAACTACGATGAAGATAGAAGCGCATTAGAGCATTATTAAGCAACATTATTTACAATGTTTCAATCAACCTAGGCTCGATCTTCTAATATGGATGCTTCTTAGAGAAGTGATATCAGCACAGAAGAAACGGTTTTCACAAATTCGGGCTGGTATCATAAAGCTACACTGGTGAGTTAACTTCAAGAGAGAATGGATCTATGCAGGTGCAAATGATGAAGAATGAGTAAGATTGCGTGACAATAAAAAGAAAAGAAACATTGATATAGGGAATCAAATAGTTTATACTTTACTGAAATTATCTGATGGATTTGCAGTTGTCTCGCTTTTGTTAAGAATCACTTCTTTCTATATAAACATTTAATAAGACAGACTATAAATACATCCAACGGGAAAAAACAACGTTTACTTAGATGTAGATTTGAATGTCATACCACACCACCATTCCTCGTTTTGAATGATCCTGATGCCGGTGATACTACATTACCGGAGACTCAAGATGTTGCCCAAATCGCTAAAACCTATATTGCTGATAGTTATGATGTTAATGCAGATGAGAATTTAGATGAAGAGGCTCATACTTATATAGAATCGAATTAGGAACTATTTGAGCAAGCCTTTAAAAGGATCTGCTTAGAAAAAGATGCTAATAATTGGTGGCAAGTTGGTGCTATAATGAAGTGGAGTAAGTTAATAATAATAGAAAAAGATATTCAAAATGTGGAAAGGTGAAGAAAACGGCAAGCAACCTGGGCACCAGAAAATAGTAAAAAACCATACCTCATGTATTTATCATACCCTGAAGAACCAAGATTGGTGGAGGATGTGATAGTTGAAGATGTAGTTAATGAATAATATAATAATAATATTTTAAAAGTAAAAAAAAAAATAATCATGTAATCTAAAAAAAATAATAGATTCTTGTATACCTTTTTTATAAAATAACTAATCCAGCTCTTAACAGTTAAATAAAAAGTATATTTAATTCGACGTCTAATAAATAATACAGTATAAAAAGAACTATATACAGTAAGACCTCCCTAAGTGCACCACCTCGGGACCATAGTTAAAAAAAAGCAAAACGTGCACTTAAAGAAAGAGTGCATTTATAGAGAGCAAAATATATAATGCTCTTATAAGTTGGCCAAGTTATACTATGCATTTAGAGAGAATTAGTGACACTTAGAGAGTGTGCACTTAGAGAGGTCTTACTGTATTGGTTTTTAGTTTTTAACTTAAAAAATTTGCATATAGGCTTTTTATTCAGAGTTGAAGACAATGATAAGAGAGATCTATTGAGAATTGAAGATGACAATAAAAGAGATTTATTGAAAGTTGAAGACGATAAGAGAGATTTATTGCAATATTAAGAGTTGAAGACGATGATAAGAGAGATTTATAGAGATCTATTGATATTGTACAATGGTAGTCACGGCGGTGACGTCGATTATCGAATCTGATATAAATCATCGAATCTGACATCGATCGTTGGCCTGATGTCGATCATCGACCCAAACATTGGGGACCGCAATTTTGACAGAGTGCAGAATCGATTTTACTATTATGTGATTCTCGAAAAACAAATGTTGTTAAGTTAAAAACTTCTTTTACATTCAAGTAAGAGTTTAAGTTAAGGTTAGGAAGGACTATAGTATAGCAAAATTACACAAGGAAATTTTTTTGTTAGGACTCCAAGACTGTTTACTAACATTTGTTTTGATTTTCTTTACATTACACCTGATCCTGATCTTTGATTGGCTGATGGATGTCAGAAAATCATGTGACAGTAAAATCGATTCTACGCTCTGGCGTTGTTGGGGGGCCGCCCTGATATACTCATGAGATCTCAATGAAAATTTTTATTTTAATACTATAGATTCATAGAATTAAAATAAAAATTTTTTATCGATTTTAATATGTAATTATTGAGATATTTTCATCACGACTAGGATACTTAAACCCTCATATATGCCAACACAATTACCGTATGTTACTACCCCGAATAAAAGCTACTCCACGATTTTGGGCTCAAGAATTTGAAAAAGGTTATGTTTTAATCGTAACATTAGACCCGAATAGAAGCTACCCCTTGCTTTAGCCTGAAAAATTCCATTTTTTTTCGACATTTTGGTAGCTTTTATTCGGTAACATATGGTATCTAATTTCAAATGGTTGATATTGGCTGTAATATAGTTAACATATTAAATAATAAATTTCAAAGTTTTTAAAAAAACCTATATAATATTTTAGACGATTAAATATGAATTAATAGTTGTTATATGTAGAACTTATTATTTTATAAGTAAACCTATTACTGCACATTAAATAAAGTTATTCCTCATAATTTACGTATTTTTAAAAGTTCGAAAAATTTATATAAACGTAAATCAATTAAAATTAAACTATACCACCTTGTATAACTTCAATATTGATAGAATGATAAGCATTTAAATACAATAATATATTTTTTTTGAAGATATTACAATAACTACCCATCCGAGCTTGATAAAAATTTTTTTGTTTCAATTTAATAGGTTCATAGAACTAAAATAAATTCATCGACTTAAGGGTAGGATGTACAAATTTCCAATTTCATATAAAATAGATTGTACATCAACTTTGTGTATATGATATTATATGATTTACATGTAAACATCATATGATTCGACCAATCAGAACTAGCAATTTTTGTGTAACTCCAGAAAAACATATAGCGACCCCGGCAACTTTGATTATATATAAAGTTCATTTTTTTTAAATCAATATATATTCCGCAACTTCACTATTATAAACAAACTAGTTTAAACTACATATCATATAAATT